TTTTTTTTTTCAATACGTTATCACATTCAATAACTGAGCTAAGAACAACAACACATACAGAGAACATAAAACATTGAAAAGACGAACAAATTTTAATTTAAGAGACTTTTTTAAAAGTATATTTTTGTAAACAAATAAAGCACAGATAATACTTAAAATTTATAATATGTTACATACAACTTTTTCAAGTTCATAAAGGTATTTTTTTCAATTTATATCTTTGAAAGTGCAGCGTAACCACTAAACAGCATTGATCAAAACAAATTTTGCAATTGTTTTCTTAAAATAATGACAATTTTTTTTTAGATTTATAGTCAAAACTACACTTGTTTGAAGCTAAAATAACAGAAGAATACCTGGAGCTACACCAGAAGTTACCAAATGATTTGGTGTATATTGTTTTCGAATCGGACTATAATAATAGGAACGATACGGTACAGATCGACGACGATTTGATATGGTAGAAAGATAACGCCGTCTTGTTTTTTCTGCCAACAAACGGGCAAAGCCATCAAAAAAACTTGAATTTGCTTTTTTTACTGACTCTTTTGCAGCTGTAATAACCATTAGTTTATATCAAATTTTAAAGCTTAAAAATGTGCTGTTTTTTACTGAATATTTTTTACCTTTTATATTAAAATCTAAAATGTTTACAGATATTTTGACAACAAATATTTTATGTAACAACTCAGTTAAAAGCAGTTTTTCATTGATCAATAAATGTTTTATACCAAAAATGCATGTTTGTGACTGAGCTTCCAAACCATTTGGACATCGGCATCGTTGATGTAAATCACATATAGCACCCGGATAACCCTTAGCACATTGACGAGAATCTTCACAACCATATTGACCAGGATAAACAGCTGAAAGTTGTTTGTTGTTGTTCAGTTTTGAAAAAATAAAAGCAGCATGTAATTAAAAGCGAAAAATACTAAACAACAAATCTTTTTTTTGTATTTATAACAGTTTTTTTTAAAATAATATACGTTCAGGGATATATACTGACCAGGTTTACATCTTCCATTAATGTTAACATGTGTTGATAGGCACATGCATCGTCCATAGCTGCTACAGTATTCACCTTCACCTTTACATTCATAAGACGTGTCACACACTGTACCAAATGTGGTGCCTTAAATATTTTATTTTTATTTTTTTTTTTGCTTAGCAAATAACATTGATAATAATTATAATAAATTGTTTATATTTGAAAAAAGGAATCAGTTGACAAAGTGATGAGTAATTTGCTACTAATTATTTGGTGAATGTAAAAGCACTTTTTACTTTTAGCTGAACAGTACTGTAATTGTTGGATTATAAAATACAGTTTTGAAATTTCATTCATTCAATTTTTTTTTTTTTTTTTT